ACATTAGACTAAAACTATAATACTCGACTAACTGAAATGCAATCAGGGTGTTCTCGTCCCCGTTTGAATAGATTTAAGGAATCTGAAGTTCGCACGCCAAAAACTAATACTTGGTACATCTAACTTAGATTACAAAGATATAAATATATACAAGTCGATAATATAGTTGATAGTATGTGTGTAAATGCCTCATATGTAGCATTGTATCCATACAAGTCTACAGTAGTGTTTCTTATCGACGATGGGAGTTGACGGTCTGATGGGGTTGAACCGCCCTCGTATGGCGAAGGGTCTATTGTCTCATCTAGTTGGTGTTTTAGGTATAGACGCGAGTTACATTGCACATAGTTTTATGCGCACGCATGTGACAGAAATCGGTCTCGGTTTAGACTATCAACAATTATGACTTGATATGTATACAGGCTACCTTTCAACGATTGCAGTCATATGGTTTAGGAACTTTGAGACTGATGTTGGTGTTAGATGGGCATAAGATGTAGAGTAATTTTGAAAATGACAAGCACACGCGCTGAAAGTAGGGAGAAGGACATGACACCAGTACGAGAACATCTAAAGGTACGCTGACCTGATGAATAGGTTTGTTTTGTGGTTTTATCGAATATCCAATTTTTATAAAGTAAGAGCGACATTGAGTTGTAGATTGTAAAAAAGTACGTATATTCATTTAGAACAACAGAAAGACGCCGGGATTAGATGTGAACAGAGCTTGTAAGGATGCAATGGCATTATTTAATATGGAAATAGTCGATATGTTAATATTACTATTCATGGACAAAGACACGGATTGCATGGTATCACCAATGGAAGCCAAGAAGAAACTGCTCGCATTGCAAATACAAGAACATATTAAATATTTACATAATACTAGGATATATACTTGCCAACAAATAGAGGAGTGGCATCACAAATGTGTTGTATAGGTGTAGTTGTAAGAAGTCTAAACTCGACGAATCAGAGACAAAATTCGTACCATTGTTCCAGATGCAGTACTTTCGTACAATTGTAAAATACGGCGTTGATAATACAGTCCTTATTGCTACATTACTTCTACAAAGTGACTACAGGATCCGTACGGTCATGCCTGTAAACACCTTTTGTCCTTAGCTTTTGCGGCATCATGCAAATATAAATAGATGGGGCCACTGCTAACTATAGAATCGGCGATGATGATGGTGGTTTCTTTCCTGTGTGTGGGTGGATGAAAATGTGGCGAAATAAAAAAGCGCGGGAGAAAGCACTCAGGACACACACGACCTTTCGATACAAAAAAAAAATCCAAGAAAAACGAGGAAGTACACTGTACATATATCACAATTTGTGTATTTCTATTGTGAATATTCATAAATAAATAGCAACTAACGTGTCCAACCGATTGTGTACAGGTCACCATTACTGCGTACCGGTGATGGATTACATCTGAATGAGAAGTTCGGTTACAGCACGATGGGAGACGCACGAAAAGTCAGATTTGAGCTCATAGATAGCGATGAGGCCGCGGATCAGGTTTGTGATTCGAGCACACCTTTTATTTTGACAAACTTGGGTGTGTACCTGTGCATGTAGGGAGTACACTAACAATTGCTACCATAGATGGCATGCATTGGAGTGTGTTATTTAGATGCATGGTAGATATGTCTATACACGAGTGACCTTTATTGTTTGCAGAACTCACGGATGTATTCAATTGCGGAAGAAAATTATAGTATGAATACCGCGGGAGGGGACATACACATTCCTTGCTAGCGATCCATTGACAAATTAAAATTGATTCAAAGTATGTCAACAATCCGTGGCACGCACAAAAGTCTATAATTTATATGTCCATCAAATAGTATAAATACATAT